GCTAGAGTTATCTCTTTCTGTATAAAATAGGGTGGTTGTTTTCAGGAAAAAAAAAATCCATCAAATCAATAATAGCTGATCAATGCAGAGCACAAAAATACCATACCCGAATCTGAGAGGGGTTTTCTTCCTTGTTTGTTCCCTGTTCTATTGATGGCATTCCCATTAAACTCTGCATCCAAGTCAGGGTCTTCCTTTTCTCCCAGATGTCCATATATCCCATCAGTATCCCTCTAACAATTTCACCTCTATCCTGCTCCTGCCGCACCTCACTCTCTCTCCCTGTCACCTACACTGACCTCTCCTCTCTAATCTGGAAGCCCTTTGGAGGGGTGGGCTATGCTCACATCACCATACGTCTCCACATCTAAAAGGTGGTGAGAGGAGGGGCAAGTGGAACAAGCACCTGGGAGGTGGGTGTGTAGGTGAGACGTGGGCTCTGAGCTGGCAGCACTAAGGTGGCCAGAGGAGCCGTATGGAAAAGCTGCTTCTCTCACCTCTGGTCCTTTCACTTCACCTCCTGCAGGCACCTGGACAAACCATAATAGTTAAGAAGATGGCCCCAGAATCACAGAGAACTAGTTCACACACCTGATGGCTGGGTGACTGTGGGCGAGTTATTGAACATCTGTCCTGTGCTATGAGACTTCTATCATAGCTCTCAAGGGAGAAGAGCCATGTCTGAGTGCCACCGCCCCCACACACTGCCTGTGAAGTGCTTTGCACATAGCTGCCTGCAGGGGGTGCTCCAGCACCCGGGGACATTTCTGTTCTGAGCCCCCAACTCTGCCTCAAAAAGCACCCACCAGCTCACCCAGGGGCTGAAACTCAGGGACAAGTTTGGGAACTTGCCATTACCTCCCTTCTGACCCAGATAGGATGGCAGACACTCAGTGTAGGGAGGGACTTGAAGAAAGTGGAGGTGCAGGCTAGCAAGCAACTCTGCCCTCTTAAAGACCTGCCTCAGTTGTTAGCTCCTTTTTCTCTTTCCCCAAGATAGGGTGATTGTTTTCAGACAAAAACAAGACTAGGACTTCCTTAGTCTCCTAGAACTTCTTTCTCTTTTATCATTACCTCCTGTTATAGTTTAGATAAGAGGTGTCTCCCAAAAGCTTGTGTGTGAGGCAATGCAGGAAGGTTTAGAGGTGAAATGATTGGATTATGAGAACCTTAAACTAATCAGTGAATTGATCCCCTGATGTAATTAATTGAGTGGTGACTGAAGGCAGGTAGGATGTGGCTGGAGGAGGTGAGTAATGGGGGCATGACATTGGGGTATATATTTTGTCCATGGTGAGGGGAGTCTCTTTGTTCTTCTCTGCTTCCTGATGCCATGTCCTGAACCACTTTCCTCCACTGCACTCTTCCACCATGATGTTCTGCCTCATCTCAAGCCTCAGGGAATGGAGTCAGCCATCTATGGACCGACACCTCAGAAACCGTGAGCCCCCCAATATGCTTTTCCTCCTGTAAAATTATTCTTGCCAGGTCTCTTGGTTGCAGCAGTGGAAAAAACTGACACACACACCCCACCTACTTTCTATTCACATGTGAACAGCAAAAAGGACATGCAGTTGGGAGATGCCAGACCTGAGTTCAAGTCTTATTTGACTGAGTACTCTGTGGCCTAGGACTGCTGCGCCCACTGACAAAACAGCACAGGAATGACTGCAGACCGAGTCAGTGCACCGGGGGCCCCTACTGCAGTGAGACACACTGAGACCCTTAATGAGGATCCACAACAGTTTCTGGTCTCCAAGAGTCGGAATTTCAGGTCTTTCCTTACTTCTCCCCACCTCCCTGGTCCATTACCCAAACCCACTTCACTCCTCACTGTCAACTCAGCTAGAAGATGGGGACCAGTTGTTTTGTCAAATACTCATCTAGATGTTGCTATAAAAATATTATTTATGTTATAATATATGTTATTAACACAATAATATATGTTATTAACACAATTGGTACAGTTTTAATAAAGGCGATTGCTTTCTATAAAGTAGGTGGGCCGCATCCAATCAGTAGAAGACCTTAAGAGCAAATAGGTTCCGTTGAGGTTCCCCATAGAATTCTGCTTCCAGACCATCAGAGAAATTCTGCCTGAGCTTCCTGCCTTTGAACTCAAGACTCCAAATCTCAGCTCTTACCCAGATCTCTTATCTGACAGACTTGCCAACCCCCACAATCATGTGAACCAATTCCTTAAAACCTGCTCCCCTTGTATTGTCTTGTCTCTCTCCTTCTCCCTCTCCCTCTCCCTCTCTCAACTCTCATCTCTGTCTCCTTATCTCCTTCTCTTTCTCTGAAGAACACTCACTGACATAGGGAGCACTCTGCCATGCTAACCCATCAGTCCATCTTTTTACCCTGATTTGCCACATTGCTACTAGTAGGGCAAAACCCCAGGCCTATTACAAGGTCAGCACAAGCTAATAGGTCATTTCTCTTCTTCCCTTTCAAGCAGCCTGGTGTAGTGGGGAGGTTCATGTCTTGCACATTCCCTTAGCATCTTTCTGCCACGTAGCCAGAACCATGCCCTGTCCCTCAGAGCTGCTGGAAAGCTGTCCCCTCTGTCTGTCTCGGCTATACTCTGGAGGGTGGGAGCAGGGAAGGGCCAACATACTTCCACTCCCTTACATCTTGGTGACAAGAATCAATTCAGAAAACTCTGGCTGGGTTTCATGGGATTGAGTCCATAAATCGGGCAATAAGCCAGCTCTGGAATAAAGCTAAGAATAATTCCTAACAACCCAAGAGAAACCCAGTCCAGCAGAGGAAAGTTCTCTGCACTGAGGTCAAAGCTACAGCCCAAATCCAAAACTAAAATTTTGAAAAGTTTAAAATCCACAGCTGGCAGCAAATGTTAACTAACTCAGTCTGCTAGGACCGCACTGGGAGAGATCATTGATCCGAGGCTGTACTCCTCGAGCCTCTGGCCACATGCTATTTTAATACCGTCAAACTCTCACGCCAGCTGCTAGCGTCTGCTGTGTCAGCGCATCAGTGCCAGGGTTGCTGATCACTCCCTGGGGACAGCAGCCCTTCGTTTTCTTCTTCTCTCCTCATTTCTCCTCCATGGGGTTTCCTCTTTTCTCTCTCCTTCCTTCCTTTGCCCCCTTCCTTCACCTTCTTCTCTTCAGCTTCCCCCTTCTCCCCAACATGACTTCTTCAGGACCCACTGGGGGAGCAGGAGGGACCAAGGAGAATGACTCTCCCGGAGGTCCCTTCCTTTGGCATGTCCACACAGGTGACACCAGGAGCGGTGCTGAGCAGACACACCCAGAGGATGCCCAACAGGCCAACATCTGCAGAGAGCCACTGTGCAGAGCCAAAGGCAGGGGCACAGGGAGGGAAAGCAAGAGGCGGCCAGAGGGAGGCTGTGGATTTGACCATGTTTCTTTTTGAGCCATGGCTCACAGCAAGCGTCCAGCGCCTGACTGCTGGAGTTCGAATCCTGGCTCCCCCAATTCCAAGATCCGTCACTTGGGGCAAGTTATTTAACCACTGGGGCCTTAGTTTTCTCATGTATAAAATGAGAACAGTAACGTGTCCTCCCTCGTGGGGTTGTGTGGGAATTAAAGGAGTAAATAAAGACCTGTGAAGTGCTTACAGCACTGCCTGGCGTGTGGCCACTGGCCAAGAAGTGCCAGCTGTTCTCAATCCCATGGGAAACTGAGGCAGCTTACAAGAATCAAAACCATCTGTCACCTCGACCCTCTCTGAAATCCTGTGAGGGAGGGGAAGAGGGGACCCAAGGTCACAGTTGGGAGGCACATGCTCCAGGTGTGTCTAATGGAACTTTCCGTGCACCAAGGCACAGGAAGAGCGTGCTACAGGCTAAGTAGAGTCTGAGCACCCACCATGGGCCCAACACAGGAAATCGTATTCCACGTGCCAAACGCCCACTTCACCCAGTCTGTGGGACAGCATTCCATTTCCAAGATGGTGACTGCCCACGCCTCCAATATGCATGTAAGTCCTACAAAATTCAACACTCCAATTTAGTAACATAAATGTCGTTCACATCTGAAGTGTGCTACCCAAGGAAAATGCTTGGAAATGCTGCCTTAAACGTGGTCTTTGAATATAGGTTATCTGTCTTTTTCAATGATTCTTTGGTTTTACTTGATTTTATAATTACCCAGTTCTCTTCCCCCAGTTTTTATCTGAATTCCTTATATGCAAATGTAAAAATGGAACATTTTCATACTGATGTGTAAAAGTGACCCTATGGAGCCACATATTTCAGATTTAAGGTTCTTGGTTCTAAATAGGAAGGTTGTATATGTTTAGGCCACATGTCATAGTGATGGAGCAAGGGTCACTACAGGTGGTAAGAGAATTAATTCTAAGTCCAATTTAAAATATTCACAATATTGTGAGAAGAAAAAAAACAATGTGAGTTTTATCCACTAGGGGGCCACGCTCCTCAGAGCTGACTAAGGACCATAGAAGAAGCTGGTATTGCACTTTAGAAGAAACAAATTATTGGCCCTCTTACATTTGAAAAGAGAAGGCAGAGAAATAGAGATTTTAGGAGGGCTATACTGACCATACGTCCCCTATATCCCTGCCGCTCCTAAAAGCCTGATGAGGGGAATCACTTCTAGGTTGAAGCAAAGTCACTGAATAAGATGGAAGAGAGATCCCAGAGGAAACCCAGGAAGACTCTTTCCCCTCCTGCTCACATCTCACTCACACAACCACAGCCATCACTTTGCAATTGAAGTATCTTCATTTCCCAAGAGACAGCAGCTTCTGGAAGACAAGCAATGTGCCCCTGCCTTGCATGTTCCAGTGCCTGGCACCTATGCACATCATGCCAGGTATTCATGTGGATGCTTCTGAGTGACTTAATGTAGGCATTAGGCAAACACAGTTGAACTCTTTACGACAGGGAAGAGGAAATCAATTTGAAAATGTGATTCTGATGGTATAAAAGACAGGGGAATGAGTATTTTTTTTTAAATCCAATTTTTTAAAAAATACAGTATATATATTACCTGGTGACTGCTGGTCTCAGATACTTTAACATCCAAAGACCCTGCCAGGACAGCATACCAGTTTGTCCCAATATCACCCTGGCGAAATACTGAAAAAAAAAAAAACAGAAATATAAATATATCAAGTACAGGTTGGTTTTGTCCCATCATCTGATAGCTCTGCACTAGTTATTATAAGCATGGCTTGAATCTAACTGAGCTTAGTTCTCCTCCAGTACCTGTTCCCACCAGATATGGCTTGTTTTTCTTTATCTCACTCATCAACAAAGTTATATTCTATTCACTCAACATTCTGTGAAGTGGATCTCTAGGAACAGAGCTCTTCCATATTTATACAGCTGTAATAGGAGATGACAACCCTAGCCATAGGATTCTTTAAATCTAATAAGTTACTGATGTTCTGTGCAATTTATCTTAATATATCTCATTGAATTGTGATTCTTGAAAAATTATGATGCTAAGTGGAATACTGAGTAACAAGGTTATTTGACTTAACAGGCTACACTACTCCAATTTCCTAAAACTATATTAAAATTAATGTTTTCTAGAATAGCATGTCTCCTTTTAAGCAGACTGATAAATATTTTTAAATCTGCTTTGTCTGAAAATTTTAAAGTAGGTATCATCAGTGTGCATTTTCTTGTTTGTTTTCTAAATTGACGGCTTTTAGACATTTGAAAATGATTCTCATCAAACATTTCTGAATCCGACTTTGCTTTGCGTTTATAATCCCAGAGAGGAATTTTTTAGATATTTAGGTACAACCTTAGTTCCCATATCATGTTAAGGTCACACTTTGGAAAGTAACCCTGAAACACTCATTGAAAACTCTCATACCAACCAAGTGTCTTCTTAAATATGAGGACTGATGGATTTACAGTGGACCTCCCTGCAACTCCGCTGCTCGCAGCCTGTGGACCTGGCTGGTTTTAGAGTTAGGGTCTGCCTTTCATGAACTTCTCAGCCCCCAAAGACATTATCATTTGTCAATCAAATTCACATTTTATACCATGGAAATTTCATTTTGAAAATGGCCTTAAGAAATAAAAATTCTCAGCCTCCAAAAGAATGAAGTTTCTGTTATTAATAAAATATATACAGGCTGGGGTTGAGGCTCAGTGGTAGAGTGGGGCACTGGGTTTCATCCTCAGCACCACAAAGTAAATAAAATAAAGGTCTTGTGCCCATCTACAACTAAAAAATAAGTCTTTAAAATATATACATATATGCTTTAAAATGGTATGTATAATTGATTTTAAAAACAGAAATGTGATTTTTTTGTGTACACATGGGAAACATCTTGAAGGATGCATATAAAATGTTAAGAACAACCTCTGAATTGGGGTTGTAGGTAATTGTTTTGTTGATTTTCCATATTTTCTGTAAGGATGCTGTGACAGACCCTGCTGCTTCCCCACCCACAGTGAGTCCTGCACTCTTAGCTAACTGAACCACATTTTATATGAATTTTCCCTCCCCTCATAGGCCAGGTGCTCAGAGCGTGGGAGTTCCTCCCCTTGCCCCACTGGGGTAATTTCGATTGCTCTAAATCCATCATGGGCATCCCATTATCTCTGCCAGTGATAGTTTGGACATGGGCATGTGATACAATATAAGCCAATCAGATAGCACAGGAAGTCGGCCGGGGACTTCTGAAAAAAGGACACAAGAAGAAATGGTCCTTCAGCAGGGAATTTTTTTGTGTTGGCATGAAATGCTTCCAACTGCTCTAGATGTCTGGGAACCATCTGTGAGAAGCCTGAGGACAAAAGCCAGCACCTGAGGATGCATACCAAAGAGAGAGAGAGAGAGAAGGAGGGAAGGACGGATGGACCTGGGACCTTAGTAATGTCATTGAGCCACTTCATTAACTAACCCTGCAGTTGTTTTACCTCAGGACTTTTGATACAAGTAAATCATTTTTTTCCTTCTTTTATGAGTAATTCAAGGCAGTTGGATGGGAGTTTTCTGTTAATGCTGCATAAACCGTACAAACAGATGGAGAAGTATTACTTTTTTAATTAAAAAATTATTTTTAAAAAATTATTATTTTATTTTCCCTGCTCCTTATTTTACCTGGAATTAGAGGGGGGTTCATTAAAAACATTACTACTAGCATTAGCTAAAAAAACTGTTTTTTTCTTTTTAATATCCTATTGATGACATATTTTTTTTAAAGAGAGAGTGAGAGAGGAGAGAGAGAGAGAGAGAGAGAAAGAGAGAGAGAGAGAGAGAGAGAATTTTTTTATTTTTTAGTTCTCGGTGGACACAACATCTTTGTTTGTATGTGGTGCTGAGGATCGAACCCGGGCCGCACGCATGCCAGGCGAGCGCGCTACTGCTTGAGCCACATCCCCAGCCCAATGACATATTTTTTGATTAAAAAAGATAACTATTTGAATTTCTAAAGATACAGCTAAATGAATGAGTCAGTGGGATGCCCTGGAAAACTCATTTACGTGCTGTGAACAAAGGAGTTAAGGCAATGCCTTTGTGGAATTGAATAAACAGAGGGAAATGTCCCACTTACTTCGACTGAACCTACATATTTGGCACATTAATAAACCCTCTGCATGTTCTCTCTCCCCCCAGGGTAGCCACAAAATAAGCACAAACCACACACAGACAAATATACCCCTGGAGTTGTATTCCTTACATGTTATTCCTTTTTCCAAATTCTCATAATAACCACATAAACAAATCTGATGAAGGAGATTGGGGTGAAATTTCTCAAAAGCTTTAACTTCCTTCAGTCGTGTGAAGATTATATCCACATCTTCACTGGATCGTTCCAGGGGTCTATATAAGAGAGAAGAGGCAAAGAAAAAACCTGTGTCAGTAATGATGTACTTGAAAACAAGCCAAAAGGCATCATTCTAATTACATTCAAATGTCCCCAATGGTAAGTATTTCACTGCAAATATCTATCCACCTATCCCCATTATAGGTATTTCCGGACCTTTGTCAACTATTCACCTTAAATCTCTACCATCCAAACAGCCACGGAGAAGTCACTGTGAGTTCAAGGTAGTGTTTGTGGGAAGTGCTGGAGTGCTTAGAAGCATCAGGATGTGATGAGATACATAAAAATGAAGATTTTACTCAAAATTGAGATCACAAAGAAAAATACCTGCAAGGGCCAGTTAGGTAAAGTGAGTAAAAAAGAGCCAAATATAAAGGGGGGGGTGAGGTAGAGTCTACTATCAAAAAACAATGCTGAAAATACAAACACCAATTACAAGTGATGCTCCACCTCATCGTTGGTTAATACTATAGGCAACTGAGAGGATCCCAGAGAGCTGAGAGATGGAAATGTCTGCAAGGAGCAGCCCTTATTTGGCTGTTTTCCTTATTGCTGATTTTCTGTGGAAACATGAGCTCAGATGTTGTCAGAGCTTCCATTTGTTCAAGGAAAACTAGATAATTTAAATTTTGTTTACTTTTTTTTTTTTTTTTTTTGGTACTAAGGATTGAACCCAGGGGTGCTTTATCACGAGCTATATCCTAGCCTTTTAATTTTTTCTTTTGAGAAACAGTCTCACTATGATGCAAATAGATTATGCCATTACTGAATTTGCGATCCTCCTGTCTCAGCATCTCCACCCACTCTCCAGTAGCTGGGATTACAGGCATGCACCACTGCACCAGGCCAGCTTACATTTCTCAAACATTATGTACACACACACACACACACACACAAAAAAAAAAAAAAAAAAATCTATAGAAAAGACTCAACCTGCTAACCACCATATTATAATCTCTGGATTAAGATAAACCAAAGAACCAAACAAAAGTAGAGCAGTTTTGCAAATTATGCAAATTATTTGTTTTTCCTTGAGCAATATTACAAGTCTAGGAGTGTTTCCTGATAGATATTTCACATTACACAGAACCACCCAGACTCATATGTGCCCTGGAGCCTTCCCAAGCCAGAGGGAAAGAGCTGGTTGAGGATTGAAAAAGACAGGTAATGTTCACCAAATACCCCTGTGTGCCTCTGAGTTTACCAGCCTTCCTTGTAGTTATGTTGGGAAACATTCTGGTCAGTAGACCATGAATGACACTAGCATGTGTCACTTCCGAGGGAGATTATTAACAGCCAATGAGTATCCCTCCTATTCTTCTCTTATAGCCACAAGTTGAAAGAGTGTTATTGATCTATTTGTGTCACTCAAAAAATATAGGTTGAAGTCCTAATACTCAGTATCTGTGCAGGTGGCTTTGTTTGGAAATTAGGTCTTTGTGGATGCAATCATGTTAAGATGACGTCATACTGGATGAGGGTAGACTCTAATTCAATAACTGGAATTTCCAGAGGGAAATCTGGACCCAGAGAAGACCATCACGTGAAGGTGGCAGCAGAGATTGAAGTAATGTATCTACAAGCAAGGAATGTCAAGGACTACAGGCAACAATCAGAAGCCAGAAGGGACAAAGATGGATTCTTCCCTGGAGACTTCAGAGAAAATATGTCCAACACCTTTATTATATACTACTAACCTTCAAAACCATGAGAGAATACATGTATGTGTTTTTAAACCATTCAGCTGTGGTATCTTGTTTTGAAAGCCCTAGGGAACTAATATAGAAGGTGTGTGTTTCATATGTTATAGTCACAAGATGGTGAATAACCACAAAAGACTTTGTGTACATGACAGACAACCTCCATTGTGTGAAGCTACTGAGATTGGGGTAGGGTAGGGGGAGATTACAGCACCACCTAGCATTACCCAGACTAATACACAAGGCAAAGCTAGCTGTGTCATTGTTCCAAAGAACTTGGGACGTTATTAGAGGAAGACATCTTGCCATGAGCAATGAACATTTTTGGAGGATGTGAGCAGATGACCTGTCACTAAAGGTAAAGACCAAAGACACAACTTTCATAAATGTAGTTTTGAGGCCCTTTCCCTCTCAACTTTCACCCCATCACACTTTAAGGCCCAAGAAACCTAGACTCAAGAAAAATGCCCACGACCTTCCACTAGCCTCCCAACTAACTCCTGCGAAAAGGTTTTATATTCTATTTCCTGGGGAAGAAGAAGGGAAATTCTGATGCATTAAGGTTCCATTTTTGAGATAACAATATGCATGAAAGAACAGATTCAGTCTTTACCTAGTCCTACAGTTTGAATGTGTCCCCCAAAAGTTCATGTGTTGGAAAGTTAATCCCCCAGAAAACCACGTTGAGAGGTAGAAACTTTAAGAGCCATGAGGGCTCTGTCCTCACAAACAGATTATGCCATTATTTCAGGAGTGGGTTCTTGATAAAAGAATGAGGTCCCCACCCTCACTTCTCCTTTTCTCCCTGCCCTCCATGTTCTTGTGCACATGCACATGTGATCTCTTGCCCTTCTGCCTTCCACCATGTGATGAAAGAGAGAGAAGGTCATTTCCAAGTGTGGATCCCTTGGCCTGGGGACTGCCCAGTCTCCAAAACCTTAAGAAATAATTTTTTTCTTTATAAGTTACTCAGTTGATGATTCTGTTGTAGCAGTGAAAAAATGGACTAAAATGCCTTGAAGGCACAGCACAGCAGTATCAGTGTCTCTTTCCACCTGAACTGCTGAACTCCTAACCAGAAACAAAGTCTTCAGAGTTCAGGTTTTTAGAACTGAGACCAGAACTTCAGTAGTTAATAAAGAACTGCTTTATTTACTTTGTGTGCCTGGGGGTGAGGGGACACTTCCCAGGCAGTGAAGACAATAGCAGCTGGCAAAGCACCCCAGGGTGGGGAGCCAAGCCAGTAGAGCATGCTTCTTGGGAAGCAGTGTTGGTAGCAGCAGGGAGTCCGGTCACTGCATGGCAGCACTGGCACTGGTCTTACACGCAAGAGCAAGGGCAGCATGTAAATGACTAGAAGGAACCAAAGACCAGATGAGTCTGCAAATAGACTGGACATGGGTATGATGGATTCTACTTAGTTATACAGGAAAGGACAGAAGCAGAGATTAGAATTCATCGTCCATCAAGAGAGAAAGCAGCAGCCCTCTTTGTTTATTGTCCCCAGAGCATGTCCCCATATTAGGAAGGCAGACCAGGATAGCTTAAAAATATTTTTTTTTCTGGAAAAAAAAATGGATGCTAGAAAACAAGAGAAAAAAAATAATAATAATCTACTTCTACACAGGCCAAAATAAGCAGGAAAGAACTTCAAGATTCATAGCCAGATTGTTATTAAGAAAAACAATTGAACAAAATCAATTTGAGATAACTCAGGACAAAATTGAAAGTTATCCTCCTGATACATTTGTAACACCTGAGTTAGGTTCCAATAATGTCACCTATTTTTTAAATGTTTAGCCCCAGAAACTATGAAAAGCAACACATTATCTGTCATTGCTTTTATTGGGTCCTTCATGGAGTGGGGAAAACTTCATTCAGCTATGAACTGACATAATTATTGTTCTACCTCTGTAATCTACCACTGGTGATCATCCTGCTGTTGCCTCTCTCAAGATCTCCAATTTCCTGCTGTTACACATATTCTCATCTGTGTCAAGGTCATGCCTGGAACTTCCTTTATAGATCCTATAGTACCCAGGCAAAGCACTCAAGAACTCCTTGGATATAATGTTCTATGATGACCTCAAACTGAACTCATCTGCTCGCCTATACCTGCTGTACCTGCAAGCCCTGTTTCCATTCATGGAGTAGGCTTCCCCTCTTCTATGGTCTGAATGTGCTCCCCCAAATTCCCACGTTGGAAATTTAACGCTTAATTCAACAGTGCTGAGAAGTGGGACCTACCAGGAGGTATTTGAGTAATAAGGGTTCTGCTCTCCTGAAGGGATGATTGCTGCTATGACAAGGGTCCATGCAAGGGGGCGCCACCTTCTGCCATGTGGTAATGCAGGAAGAAGCCCTTATCAGATGCTGGAGCCTTGATCTTGAACTTCCCAGACTCCAGAACTATCAGAAATAAATTTTTTCTTCATAGATTACCCAATCTCAGGTATTCAATTTTATAAGTACAAAATGGGCCCAGGTACCCTCCCTCACCCTCTGTCACATCCACGTAATTGTACTTACTAGTGTCTCTCAAATCCATCCCTTCCCTTCACACCCTATTGCCTTTCACCGGAGCATGAACGAAGGGCATGGGAAGCGCTTGTTGGGGCGTGAAGCTGAACGGCCATGGCAGGCCTGTCCCAGGGGCCTGCAGAGCTGGGTTCTGACTAAGAGTCAGCAGAAGTATTTTCAGCAGGGTAGTGATAGGATTGGATGCACGTTTTGGAAAGATCACCTGGACTGTGAGAAGAGGCAGATGGAAGACAAGCAAGACCAGCAGCCAAGAGACGGGCTGGGAAGTTCTTGCAGAATATCAAGATGATGATGTGGTTTCTCTAATTAGAACTCACTCTAGGCTCCTTTCCTCTTCCTTAAAAACTATGGACAGCTGGTCTCCCAAGTAAAAGCTCCAAGAACAAGAAGTTATCTTCCTTAGTCTGGCGTTTATTACCCATGGCCCATTTTTAAAATCGCCTTTTAAAAATATTTCATTTAAAAACATGTTCACATGACAACAAAAGAATCATTCATAATCCTACAACTCAATAGCAAAAACAAAAATTAGTAATCCAATTTTAAAATGGGCTAGGGGCTAGGGAGGTAGGTCAGGGGTACAGCACTTCCTAGCAGGCATGGGGCCCTGGGTTTGAACCCCTACGCCAAAATAATTGATTTTTTTCCCTGAAAGTAGTAGAGATTGAACTTTGAACATGCTAGGCAAGTGCTCTACCACTGAGCTACATCCCCAGTTCTGTTTTATTTTGGGGACAGGGTCTTGCTAAATTGTC